TTTGTACTTTATTTCACAATCCCCTACTATTAGGACAAGTAAACTTCTAGTGGCTGGAATTCACCACCTAATTAGGGTGAAAATCGAACTAATGTGCAATGAATTCACTTTCGACAAATGTACCAGTTTTTCAAAAGTTGAAGTCAAGAGATTTTATGGGAGTGATTGACCGGTAAGCATCACTTAAATTAAGCTACAGATTTGACAGGTGAAACACTTATTTTGCAGAAGAGTTCAAAATTACCCCTGCAGTACTACTTAGCGGTCAGCAAGTTAGTATGGTAAAATTTGCACATGCAGCTCAATAATTCATATTGATAACTAATCCCAACCACATGTAAGCGTGTTGTCTTAAATTATATAGAAGAGTTATTAACTTTTCATAGCTGATAGAGGAGAGGAAGATGGTGAAGCAGAAGATAAACCAACGCAAGGATGCACAACGAGAAGTGGAACTGATTACAATGTACAAAACACTACTCTCGACAAAAAAGTGAAGAAGAGTGAGTGGAAAGACAAAAGACACTTCTACGAAACACTGGCAAGTGAATCAGAACAGGCTGCAGGTAGGAGAGACAGAGACCTGACAACATTGTATCAAATAACAAGGTTACCATCTGTGAGGTAGAGGTCAACACATATGAAACCAATAAGAGATGATGAAGGAAAGTTGATTACCAAAGAACAGAAACATAGGAAATGATGTGGTGACCACTTCAAGAAGCTCTTGAATCGACCACCACCTATACTTCTTCCGGATATACCACCTGCAACCCAGCCACACAACTACCAGTGAACACAGATCCTCCAACAATATTGGAAGTCCTGAGCGCCATAAAACTACTGAACTGTGGGAAAGCAGCAGGCGGGATGGAATCCCGCCAGAAGCACTGGGAACAGACGCAGAGACAACAGCAGCGGACATGCTCACACCACTATTTCAGAAGGTGTTGAAGGAAGGAAAGGTACCTGCCGACTGATAGGAGGAAGAGCTACCTTGTCAAACCCCCAAAGAATGGAGACCTAAGTGTTTGCAAGAACTGGTGCGGAATCAAGCTCCTGACCACTCAGAGCAAGCAAAATATTATGCCGTATCATCCTGGAGAGACTAAAAGATGCACTGGATTCAAAATTAAGACCAGAACAGGCTGGCTAGGTTCAGGAAGTACAAATCATGTACGGACCAAATTGCAACCCTTCGCATCATAGAACAGAGTGTAGAATGGCAGTCAACTCTCCAACTCAATTTCATCGACTTTGAAAATGCTAGCGTTGGCCAGCGTCGACCGAGAAGTAATTTGTCAGCTGCTTCAACTTTATGGAGTACTACAAACCTTTATCAACCTCATTCAACAACTATATGAAGACTCCACATACCAAGTAATTCACAATGGAAAGCTCAGTGATGCTTTTGAAGTGAAGATAGGAATAAAACAAGGCTGTCTACTACCATCCATGATATTCCTGATTGTGATAGACTGGACTGGATCATGCAGCAAACAGTGAAAAGCTGTGAGGAGAGGGGGGATACGCTGGACCGTGGAAAAGAACCTAGAAGTTTTAGATTTCGCCGAAACTTGTGTCAAACAAACTTGAAGGTCAACAGGCGAAAACCAACAAGTTGACAGAAGAGGCTGGACAGCGAAGACAGGACTTTAAGTGAATATAGAGGAGACGGAGTTGATGAAGATACCAAACCAACAACAGCAACAAACTCCGATCAATGTCAATACGAGAAACCTAAAGGAAGTAACCTCCTTCACCTATCTAGGTGAGGCAGCACTGTTTCAACTACAGGTGTACAGACGAGGATGTCAAAGTCAAAATAGGAAAGACAGCAAGACAGGCATTCATTAACCTGAAACCAGTGTGGAGATCTGCACTCAGCATATGGAACAAGATCCGGATTTTCAACACCAACGTCAAGCCAGTGCTTCTATATGGTTAAGAGACTTGGCGCGTCACCGAAAGCACTTCCAACAAACTACAGACATTCACCAACAACTGCCTACGTTGGCTCGTTACTGAAGATCATATGGCCAGAACGAATAAGCAACAAGTAACTCTTGCTGGGAACGAACCAACTGAGAACCTATCACTCAACAAGTATGCAGAAGAAAGTGGAGATGGGTTGGATTGTGCATACACTGAGAAGACCGGTTGGGGACATCACGCGCCAGGTGAGGCCCTCGAGTGGAACCCAGATGGGAGACGATGAGTTGGGCGTCCGGGGTGAGGGTGACATGGAGGAGATCGTGCGAGGAGGAAATGATAGCTTGTGGGCTGTCGTGGAGACAGGTTGAAAAGATTGCCGAGAAGGGAGTGAAATGGAGACGTTCTATTGCAGCCCTGTGTTCCATTAGGAATCCAAGGAGTATTAATAATATAATAATATTGCCATAACCTTTTCGTTTGAAAATTCTGTTCTGGAAGTGAATTTATTGAAAAATTACATGCTGAGAATTTCATACTCTCATACATCTAGTTTAGAATAAAGCGATTATTGTAATATTGATAGCTTATACAGCCGATTGCGTAATCGTTATCTGACTGATAGAATAGGGTTTTTTTTCAGGCTTTTAAATAAGTATGATTTAAGAGCATTTAACATCATCAAGGCGTCATTAGCAGTATCATTCTATTGATGGGAAAAAGTAGGTTTGAAAGTCTATAAATCTTGTTCAATATATTTTCAGAAGTCAGTATGATCGACTTAAAACTTTCAGGTCGTTACTGGATACAAGGAAAACAATGGCAACTAACAATACTAAATTTATTATTGTAAAGTTTATTTTAAATGAATATTATTAACAGTATGTGTATATTATATATATGTATAGGAATTCTTAAAAAAATCTCTCATATACTTCGATAAAAAGGTGCACTATGTATGTCTTTGTGTAAGAAATCAGTCAGTTGATTTTCCCCTACAACTTTCAATTACGTCATCTTATGTACGGCGTTCGAAACGGAATTCAATAGTATGTTAGCAAGTTTAGTGTTTGGATACACTGAGTTATGTATTAATGTGCATATTTGTGTGTTTGTGAGTTACTGATTAATTATGCACAGATAGCTAATAATAAAAGTTGAGAATAAAAATATTTAATGAGTGTGTGTGTGTGTGTAGATACAGTCTATTGTCTGATGTTTCGTCGGCGGTTCTTTCTTAGAAGTATCTGACTGGAATCAGTTGAAATTAGTTGCAATTAGAATGATGAGGGTTTGATTGTAAGAAATCATAATGCTTCTGTTTTTTTCTCTTTCTCTAGCTTTTTTATTCAATTTACATTTTGTTTGAAACTAAGGTGAATAATTTATAGCATAATTTGTATACGATGAAATGTGAATACAAAAGTATCCGTTTCCCAGTATCCTTCCTGTCTAGGCATTCAATATTCAACTATTTTCTTTCAGTTTTCACCTTTCAATGGTCAATAGTATTATTCTGCCAACTTGCACAATAATACACTGGAAATGTTTCGGCGATTTTTTTTCCTTTCCATCCGACATTTGCTTATAAATTGAGAAATTCTATTCTTCTAATATGGAATGAAAAAAGAAAAGCAAATCTTCGTTCACCTCTCAAACTGTTCATTGTAAATAAATTCAATACAGAGTTTTTCTCCCATTTCTATGACATTCAGAATGGCTTGCTCAACGAAGTTATTCATGAATTTTTTGCTGCATACGAGAAATATGAATGCTATAAACCCTATTTGCAACAACCAGAAAACAAGAGACTGAAATAGTAATGTAAAAAGGAGTAATAATGAAACAGGAATCGGTTAAATTTATCGATCAATCAATTTAGGATTTCGTTACCATAATTACTTTTCTAATTGTGCTTTGTGTATTTCTTTGTGTATGTGTGTGTACATTCAGTGTTGATTTTTCTTTGGTAGGCATACATACACACACATACATAGTTAATCAATATGTGTGCGTAAATACTTTTGAACAATACGCATATTCACCTAAATCATTGGCCTTTAAAAATCCAATTAAAATAAATAATAATTGTATTACGATTATGATAAATAATCATGGGAGTAAGAATAAGGTACCTATATAAAAGAGTAAATTCAGTTTGAACATAAGTGGATTTTTTGTCCAAAATATAAAATATTACTACTTATAAAAACTACTACGACTTACCGATTACCTCAATTACTTTTCCATGAGTAAAATGAGGTGAATGTAATAATATTTGCTTCAGTTTATACATACAACGGAGAATGTACAATCCCCAAAGACAAAAAATAGAATTAAAGGTATAGGTTAGCACAGAAAAAAAGAAAAATTGAGTTTATGATAACGAAACAGTTCTTAGTATCCTTCACTAAAGTATGATAATCACTCCAATGAAAACTGTCGTCTGTGTTTGATTTCATTCAATGACTAGACTATTCGGCTAGTATTCACGCTTCTAGGCGTAATATGTTTGTTGTGTATAATTTACATCGTGATGCCAGTATGCTGCCAAGAGTAATCAGCATAAGGGATTAGTTTATTGTAGAGATCTATTGGTAAGTAAGAGAGACTTTTACTCAGAGATTAATTGAATAAATGCAGTTGTTATAATTTCTGACAATAATATCAATCTACACAGCCTTTTTCAAATTGTATTTGTCTAAGCTTTACCATTTTTTCTTTTCTTGAAAAGTACTAACCACTGGACAAATTGTGACTAAAAAACTTTATTTTACAGTATGTTATTTTCAATACATAAATAATATATATGTGTGGTAGAATACCAATAAGGATCTACGGCAGAAATCCACCTGCTTGAACAATGGATAAAAAAATCGATATATGTATGTCTTGAATTATTGATTAATGATTTTAAAATATATGCTAACTATATGTATATGTGTTCATGCGATAAATGTTAGTGTGCATACGTAGTGTTGTAATGTATAACGTGGCAAATCACCATTTCTGCAGAAAAATCGATCAAAACTAGAAGGTGGGGAAAACGAATTGTTCACTAGATGCAATTAAACAATACTGTCATCATTATTACTTGAACTATGATTAGCTGTATTGTTAATATTTGTTGTAGGCATAGTTGAGGTTGGCGGGGTATTGATTGTTGTATTCTGCACAGACGGTGCGGTTGGTGAATGATTTTTATTTGAATATCTAAGTGGTGCCGTAGCGCCTACTAGTAAATCGTTTCCATCAGCAATAAAACTTGAACCATTATTGTTATTATTGCCCATATAATCTGCAGGAGCAGTACTAAATGCATCAAGATATTTTTGATCTTCCATGGTTTCATGTAAACGTTTATGTCGATAGATATGCCATAATTCACAAGTCAAGTCACCAGCCATTAAATCACCACATTGATTGATATTAGGCGTATCAGAAAGACACCGTCCGCACGCAAATAATTCTCAACAAACTTGGTTGTTGCAACCTTATCTGTATCTCGCATAACAGACATAATTTTTAAGTATTTACGTATAAATTTAACCCGACACTTTGATGATCCCATACGATATAACCATACAATGAGACTGCACAGTGTAACGATACCGACCATGCAGTGCCAAAACCATAGGAATATGTAGATTTTCTCTAAGAACATATTTAATGGAAGTACACATTGTAGAGTGTACCTGAAAGCAGAATACAAAAAAGATAAGACATCTCAGTGTTACAGTTAGATATTTTACTTATCTTCAATAGAAAATCAGTAAGAAAGAGTATCAGGGAAAAGTGAAGTTTTTTAAGCTTCCACTGTGCATATTTTGACGGTCAACCTTTTGGTCTTATCATCATACCTCTCGTAGAATAGTGACACATTTCATCGCCTTACTGAAGGGTTACTGCTTTGTTGACATTCAGTTAAACTGATCATTTACGTGTATTCAGATCTGTCGCAGAAGTAAGAATCTGGTTAGTGAGTAGAACTCAGTCGCTCAAGTACATAAAAGTTGGTGGGAGCATTTTTCACACCTTTCAAAAAGTGTTTTGCTTACCTTCATTTTGCCCAGCATGATATAATGGATCATCGAGGGGTGATGTACTCTTAATAGACTACTGAGAGTGAAACATGCTTATGGTGATGTGTAGGGAGGAAAAGTGAAAAAGTCTTGGATGACTGACTAAGGTAAATCAAATTGATCATGGGAGTGAAGCAGTGGAACGTTTCTCATATATACATTCACTCGTTTGCAAACAAACGCACATTGCTGGCTTACAAGTTTGGCGTATTCTGCGAACAATTCATTTTTCATTCACGTGCTGTAAGTCACCCGGCGCGTTTGCTTCTTTTTTGTTTTTTTTTCAACAGAAGATAACCAGGAGAATCTTCAGGTTGACATTTTCCTTTCTCCTCATTTGCCTTGCGCTATGGTATACCGAGATTGGTAGACTGAATCAAAGATATACAATGAGACTACTCATATATTCTGTTGCATATAAAAGTTTGAATAAAAAATTCTATTCATGTTACACATGAGAACACATACATATAGGGTATGATCGTTTACTGCAACCTAAAACGCCAAGTTTCCAACGGTAAAATGAATAAGTGAAAAGCGAAACCATCACTTTGGCTGACCAATTTTATAAAGTGAACTTGATATTTGTGTTTTGACTAAATTCAGATGTATACAACTTATAGAACAGCTAACAAATATACCCTAAATGATTTCCGCAATCAGTGTTGAATGTTAATTAGTTAAGAAGAAGTAATTGTAACTGTTTACCCGACTAGATATGGTTGAGTAATGGCTAACTACCCAGCTTTCTAAAGATTCACTACCACAACTATTTCGCTACAATGATGATATAATAGTTACGCTTGAAGATATAAAATAAATGTTACTGATAAGCAGCATAGTTTGACCGTGATACATCTACTTTGAAGTATCACAAACTGAAGGACATCAACCAATCAAGTTATTTTTTAAACTTTAGATAAGTACAAAAGTGTTGTACACTGAATTAGGCAAACTGAAGTGATATTTGTACAACCCGAGGAAAACTAAAAGCAGTGAGCAGGTAAATATCCATACTTGTGGTATGCTAACAGAATATGGTTAAGGAAGCATTGAAAATTAGCTGTGCTACTGAATAATGCTGACTGGCTCGTGTGAAAGCTACCACCGACTCGTTATCGACTTGACAACAAATGAAAGAGTTTGAGTTTAGCCCGATACTGAATGCATAGACAGCAGTTAGGGGAGGTAAAAGATAAAGCATAACGATAATAATAACAGTAATAGTAACAATAATAATAGTGTTAATGGATAGTAGTCAGCAATGGAATTCAGGACGCGTGTTTCTTCACATTTAAGATTCGTTAGCTGGATATACCTGTCTACCAGACTGACTCTTTCAAACTGAATCTCGAACTCAGAACATATCACTTTAAACATACAGATAGATAAATATATAGATCAAATTATTGATTTGTGATGACTATATTACAACCTATAACATATGTAAGTAGAACTTCTCTTGTTTAACAATAAACCAGTATGAGGGTTAAGGCTGTTTACGCATGACTTTGTCATGTAACCTAGACTGATTTTGCTGAAAAGTGAGTCTATTATGAACTTTGATATGATTAAAACGGTCAAGTAAAAAAGATAAAAACGATGAAATAGGGTGAAGCAATAACATATACATTGTTTAGTATTCATTAAAAAGGCTCAAAGATACCCACTGTTCTCCTGGGTCTTACTTATTGATTGTTTCATTCATTTAACTTCGAGTAAGAAGTCAGTAGACATCATCTTGTAGACAACAACTTCACTTCACATTCAAACTTTCCATAGACTTCAATGTCACCATCTTTTTCTCTATTTTCTTTAATGTTAAATAAGTCACTTAAGCAAGTGAACGCATTAAATACAATGTGCGCGAATACATATACCTGAATCGTTCTTTTAGTGCAATACATAGCTCCCCTCATCAAACGCAATCATAGTGTTGCTTTATCACATTTCGATTTCCATGTATAATGAAGCATTTTTACTCCCTCTCTTTTTCTCCTGCTGACTTGCTTTAAATATATATTGTTCAATACGTTCATAATTTCCATAGTGACATCAAAAACAAGATATTCAACGAAGAAGACTCTTTTCACCGAGTTTATTCTCAAGCTGTACCTTAGTACACATTTTTGATATTTAAAGACTGTAATCTGTGAGGGAGATTTAACCTAAATAATGAGGTGCGGGGGGGGTCAAAACAATAATAATGGTGGTGATAGTTGATGACATCAAGGCCGAATGATAACAAAAAGGGTTACGTAAGACCTTCTCATCAGTCTTTAAATATTATATATATGTACAAATGTACAGCTTGAGAATAAATTCGCTGAAAGAGTCCTCTTCGTTGGATATCTTGTTTTTTGATATATTGTTCAATCATATTATTTTCTTTATTTCTAAGAAACATTTTGCTCGAAGCATAATTAGGTAAGTGAATAGGTAAATAAATAACCTACCAATTTTAAGAAGAAAAAGGTCGTATTCTGTTCTTCTAAATACCTACTTTATTAGTACTAGTTAGTTGTAAAAATAACAATACTAATGAAAACACTACTCATTGTTGTTATGATAATAGCAAAAGTTATTCTAGTCCTTATCCATCCTGGTGATCATGATAACAAAAGTAACAATAATAAAAATAAGGTTAACTTCAAATTTGTGCTGAGATTTCAACAAAAATTTTTGATCCCTTCCCCCAAAACTATTTATGCGGACAATTTTCTACCTAACTGATTGAATAAGGTAGAAAACGAGGAAAAAAGAAAGACAAAAAGCAGGAAATGAAGTAAAAGTGTAAATCAGGCAAGAAATTATACACGAATGAGGAAAAATTCTTATCGTAAGGCAGTTAACAGTTCACAGGTGATTTTCGCTTTATTTTTCACTGAACAGAAACGATCAAGATTTCAATCATTGGTTCATGAAGTTGAGTTATATCTTTCACCTTTAGAGGGCTCGGTAGACAATTCCTTTTTTATCATGAATTACGTTTGAATCACCTAACAGCAACCTAGGCTACCTATGTACTGCACTTAATTAACATGAAAAACCACCACTTTGAAAGATGGACAAAAGTATACTTGATGAAAACTTCCATGTCTTAGATGGAATGTAACTTACCGTTCACAATTTTTCACGATCGGCCTTTGAAAAGTTTTGTAAAATATGCATTAACCACTTAGACCAATCATCCTATTTGGAATACCATATATACATACACCCTGTTAGTTATCAAAATTGGAGGTAGCACAGTGAGACAATGATTACTACAAATGGTACTTTATAGTGAATTCAAAGATTTTTAGATAGCTTTTATTATAATAATTTACTTTCAGGAACAGAGATTTTGGAAACCACTTAGCATCTGACTAAGGAACCTCAATTTCAACTATGTACGGAAACGCGCTTGAAGGCAGTCAAATTATGTGTGTGTCATACCTCTTTGGCTTCTTTCTGAGTTTGAATCAAGTTCTTCAGGGTATTTTAATCTAGTCATTCAGTTGCTTATCTCTTTGATTAAAGCTCAGTCTGACAGCTTTTGTTAGATATGATAACAAATGCTACTAGAGGGCAATCATTATCAATAAAAACAGCGTACAGTAAAATAATTAACGCAGCGAGAAAAGTTTCATATATTGGATTTCAAACTGTCACTTACTAGCGGGAGAAATAGTGGTAACACTGTAGCCAGTTGTCGGCGACTACACCACATTGGAAAAATCGGTTTTCGTCTCACACTCCTTAGTGGATAAGCTTATTTTTTGCAACTCAGAAAGCTTTTGATATTGATTCGGTTCTCTGGTCTGTCAGTGGACTTTCATGGAACCTTATCTGTAACATAAAAATCCAGTGTTTTCTGCTGCAGTGCTGTGTGTTATGCATTTCTCCCTTAACTGTAGTATAAAACGAGTACTGTCTTCAAGTCTAAGGTTAATTTGGCTCTCTTGTACATACAGTATATTCACGTTAACTGGTTGTCAAGTAAGGTAAGACTTTACGCCCAAACATGCAAACTAGTTATTGAATAAATAGTAGCCGTCCTTCAGACTGTAATCCATCCTTTGGAAACTAATGTGACTGAAAAATAATCAGTGAGAATGCCTATTATATGACCAGAAATTTCGCTTTAAGACTCTCTCCTTCTGCAAATTGTTATTAAGTGGATTAGATGAATCAGCTCATCAATTGGTAAAGTCAGATTTCTAGTGGTAATTATATCACTGGTATCAGTAATATAATTAGTAGTCACTTATCTTGTTTTCTGATATCTGTAGGATAAATGAAACGATTTCACTAGATAATAAATCACTAACAGTTAGGAAATAAATTGATTGATCGAAGAGCAGTAAATGTTTATGGTTTACGATGTGAAACATTTCCTATCAATAAATTAGCTCACGATTAAAGATATGAATATACTCACCGTAAAAAAGTTTTAAAGAGCCTTTGCAAAACAACATCATTTATTTAGTTTTCTTCAACTATTATAAGTCGATTAGAAACCCAAATGCATTTTGTTCATAGTTTTCAGCGACTACGACTCCGTTATTGGCTAAACAGGGAAATTGAAGTTTTCAAAACCTAAACGTTTCCATAGCGTTGATAAGAGGCAA